TTTTGCTTTGTAGGTAATAATGGGCAGGAAAATCAAGATTCCTGTGATCACAAAAAGATCCACACAGGAGAGAAACCATATAAATGCATGGAGTGTGGAAAGACCTTTGCTCAAAGAAGTAATCTTATTTCCCATAAGATGATACATACAGGAGAGAAGCCATATAAATGCATGGAGTGTGGAAAGACCTTTGCTCAGAGCAGTAGCCTTAGAAGCCACAAAACTCTCCACACAGGAGAGAAACCATTCAAATGCATGGAGTGTGGAAAGACCTTTGCTCAAAGTGGTCAACTTATTTCCCATAAGTTCATCCACACAGAGGAGAAGCCATATAAATGCCTGGAGTGTGGAAAGACCTTTGCTTACAGTAGAAGACTTACTATCCACAAAAAGGTCCACACAGGAGAGAAACCATTTAAATGCATAGAGTGTGGAAAGACCTTTGCTCTGAGCAGGAGACTTGCTGTCCATAAAAAGATCCACACAGGAGAGAAGCTGTATAAATGCATGGAGTGTGGAAAGACCTTTGCCCAGGACAGTAATCTTAAAAGGCACAAAACTCTCCACACAGGAGAGAAACCATTCAAATGCATGGAGTGTGAAAAGACCTTTGCTCGAAGAAGTAATCTTATTTCCCATAAGATGATACACACAGGAGAGAAACCATATAAATGCATAGAGTGTGGAAAGACATTTGCTCAAAGAAGTACTCTTATTTCCCATAACGTGATCCACATAGGAGAGAAACCATATAAATGCATGGAGTGTGGAAAGACCTTTGGTCATAGCAATACACTTACTTACCATAACATGATCCACTCTGGAGAGAAACCATTTAAATGCATAGAGTGTGGAAAGACCTTTGCTCTGAGCAGTAGACTTGCTGTCCATAAAAAGATCCACACAGGAGAGAAGCCGTATAAATGCATGGAGTGTGGAAAGACCTTTGCCCAGGACAGTAATCTTAGAAGCCACAGAAAGATCCACGCAGGAGATAAACCATATAAATGCATAGAGTGTGGAAAGACTTTTGCTCAAAGTGGTCATCTTATTTCCCATAAGTTCATCCACACAGGGGAGAAGCCATATAAATGCCTGGAGTGTGGAAAGACCTTTGCTTACAGTAGAAGACTTACTATCCACAAAAAGGTCCACACAGGAGAAAAACCATTTAAATGCATAGAGTGTGGAAAGACCTTTTTGTGGATAGT